AAGTTGATCAAAAAAGATGTTATTTTGTCTCACCAGAGACCGAACTCCCAACAAACATTTGCTTTAAAAAAAATTATTTCACATTTAATGATTGATCTTGTTTTCTATTTGCGAATATACTACTCATGCGTCCGTCTACAATTTAGAAGACAAACTAGACTCCAATTCGGTCAAGCTTTCTCCACTTATCCACTGGCTCATGCTGCTCCCTCCCTCTCTCATTCAATCTCCATAATTCCATCCAATAGCCAGCGGTATGGTGTTCCCCCTATTCAGAACTACATAATCTTTCACTTAACCTCGACGTCTCCATATCCTGCAAAGTCAATCTATCTGGTATCCTTCAGTGACCATGTATTCGGCCACCTGCGACTTTGGGATTTTTCGTTATGGTAACCTCTTCTGTATGAGTCCTAAGGGTCTTCTCTGCACAGGCATTAACGACTGCATGCGCGAAAAGTCATATAGCAACCTGATCTAGAGAAGATGTATGAAAAAGAAAAAAACCTATGACCTGAGGTCCCATTTCCCCAATAATTCGCTCATCTTCTTTTTTCAACTGACAAGATGGCGACATCATTATCTCTTTTGTCCAAAATTGTTGCTGTTATTCAATATATTGTTACTATTATGAAATTAGTGACAATTAACTCTCGTGTCTATTCGTCTTGAACATGTCGCTTTCTTAGCTTTCGTAACTGTAGATCGTGGAGATGTACGTCTGCTAGACGCAGACTTTTTTACAATCATAGATTTCATACTCCATACTCTTACGTCATACTCTCCATTTCATATGGTGCCAAGTTAGGTTTTATGCAAAGCCACTCTTTTGCCTCTTCAAGCAGAAGACTTGAGCTTCAGCAAGTCAATCTGACAACCAGTTTTCCGTCACAACTGGCCAGACGCCTCGGTACAGATTCCACACGTACTCACCTCCTCTCGGTAGACATAGCTTCGTATCCGGTTGGCCAACAACATGAGCAGGAGGACAGCAATCCCGAACAAGACGATGACAAGCACGACTTCTGTGCCAGTAAGGGAAGAAGTATCCTTCATGCTCTTTGATCCCACCACCATGACTAAGCAATCAGGCGTCGGCCAAACAAGGTTTATCGCTCCTGACAACGGGCTTGACACCAGAAGAACACTGCTAGAGCTCGTAGTTACCGTGGAGATAGTCGCGTTTGAGGCCATGATTTTCCGTCACTCTGGTTGAGCCTATTTATTCGTGTTTATGTGTGCATGTGTGCGGGATTGTGTTTTCGTGAATATGACGATGCTGGTATATTGAGAATGTGTATGAATTTATGTGTTCGGAACGAGGGCAATGCAACAACTTTCGAGATGAGTGGCATAATTGGGTCTGATGTGTTTGTCTGTGTGTGTTTGCATGCGAGTACTGTTTTTTTGGGTTTGCTTACAACAGGCACAGGCCCGAGAAGTGTAAAGAAGGGAGAAAAGGAAGACATAAAGTATAGTTGTGGGATTTCGACGCTAACCATCTACAGAATGAT